TATCGGTGTTTATCCTGTGGAACGTGAAGACAATGAGATTGAAATGATTTTATTTGTGCCTGCAAATTCTGATGAGAGAGATTCAGAGACTCAGGCTGTTTTTGAAAAAGACAGTTTTTATTCGGTTGGTGGTAAGATTGTACCTGGATTTTATGAAGGCAATAAGCGGCCGAAGGTAATTAGTTAATTTGTATTTGTCATATTTGATATGATTATACTTATCTTTTGTTTGATTTTAGATGACTGTTTCTATTTCAACTTGTGTGACTATTAATAAGGTCGCCAATTCAAATAAATGTCCATTGAAAATTTCTATGGTAGGGATTCCTCAAGAGTCACCACGGGTAATTGCGAATGATGAAAACGCTATTTTTAACATGTTAATAAATGATTATGCTGGGCAGGAGTATAATTTTGTTGTTAAGGTTGTTTTTCTACATTTGAATTCGCGACTTTCACATTTAAAGACTACAATTCGTCCGCAAGAGTCATTTGTTTTTGTTGTTGGGCAGTTAGAAGTCATTGATAATGACTTTTATATTTATGCGAAAGATATCAATTTTATCAATATTCATTTGTTATCTAAGCAGAAAGTCTCTGATAATAGCAGTACTCGTAATTCATCTGAAGTTATTAACACTACTCGATCAAAACTTCTTTCTACTCATCGGAATTTGGTTGGAAATACGAAAGCAACTTCTGAAGTTGAAACATCTCTTATTGCATCGAATGAACCGTCGGATAAATCTGAATCTAGTTTACTTTTGTCGAAGAATGTTTTTTCTTCGAATTATTCAGAATCTGAATATTTTGATGAATCTGCAGACCTTAATGGTGATTTGCATTTAGATGAATATGTCAAAGTAGATGGGTCTATTCAAAGTGATGGTACTGAAGAAGTACAAACAAAAAAAAGACGTCGAAAGAATCCTGGTCGTAGTGGTAAAAAACGATAATGGAATTGTTATTTTTTTTTTGTACTTTTAGTCTATTTGCTCATGTGATATATTTATATGTAAATAATATTGAATTTAAATATATGGTATTCATTTAATAACAATATTAAAATTGGATATTGGTGAAATTTTTTAGCGATAATTAAAAATTGTATTTAGTTAATGATTATAATATTTTAATTTATATGTTGCTAAAGTAATTCTGAAAATACAATGTTTTTAGTAATCAATAAATTGGATAAATGACTTTTTTCGGTAAGTATTAAAATATGATCTCGTTGACGAACTCGTGTGAGAGCAGTGTATAATTGTCCATGACTAAATACAGGTGTACGCAAGTCAAGTGCAACTCGGTCCAGTGTTAATCCTTGTGAAGAATTAAATGTTGATGAATAAGCTAGGCGTAAAGGAAATTGTCGACGACTAATTCTGAATGGAAATTGAGGTATACAGAAGAAGAAAGTAATTCTTGGTAAATGTATAATATAACCTGTTGTGGGGTTTTGCACAGTTACTAATCTTTGTCCAATGTTTAAAACAATGACTCTACTATTTTTGCATAAGCCATCATGCAATGAAAGATTTCTCATTATGGTGGCGATACAACCCTTTTTTAATGATAGACAATGTTTAGGTATTCCAGATGTATTGAAAGAATTTAGTAATTCAGTAGTTACTATATCTCTTTGTTGTTGAATTTGGGTTGTTTTTGCTGTATCATTATCTGCTAAGTTGTCTGTACTGTATAAATTAATTTTGTTACCTCTTAATTGTTGCAGAACGATTTTATTTATAGAATCTACGTCTACATTTCGTAAAGAAAGTATTGCCCGCTTTTGGCATGCGATTGGGTTATTTAATATAGTTTCGGGAAAAATAAAGTTAATTACATTATTTATTTCATGTGTTGTTTTCAGTAATGTTAGAGATATATTTTCACCGTTGATACCGTCACCAATTTCATCCATTAATTTTGAATATTCTGGATCATAAGCATCACGAATAGGTTGTTGAAGGTTGTAGACTTTAAATGAATTCCAAATTGGTGATGATTTAATTGATTCTAATATTATAGCCATTCGACCAGCATGTGGAATTACAGGTGCAACTTGACGGAAATCACCTATTCCGATAAAAATTTTACCACCAAATGGCAAATTGCAATTGCAAAGTTCGCGAAGAAGTATATCGACTACTTCTATGTTACCTTTCTGAGCCATAGGTAATTCATCCCAGGTAATAATTGATGATTCTCTAATTAGTTTAGCGCGTTCACTATTTAAGCTAATTTTACATTTACACCCATCATCGTTATCTTCAACTGGAATACGAAATAGTGAATGTGCCGTGCGACCTCCGTCATAATTTAATGCTGCTAAACCGGTTGTAGCACAGGGGAGTATTATTTTTTTTAGACTTCGCACAGCAACGCAGATAGTATTTACTAAAAATGTTTTTCCACGGCCTGCACGACCATTAATGAAAATTGTCAAAGGTTTGCTTTCAAGTACATATTTCATGATTTCTTGATAAATATTTTTTTGTTCTAAATTAAGTTGTTGGACCATTTCATTACATTTTGTGGTCAATGTATCATAATTACAATATTGCTTTTGAATGCGCATTATTTCGTCAAGATGACCTGATGGTTGAGGTAAACCAAATTGTGTTATTTGACTACCGTGTTCTTCTAAAAAATTTGCAATCCATAATAATGCTTCGTTTTCTCCTTGTATGTTATTTTTTTTATTAATATAATCTGCTGATAATAATTCGCGATAGTTTTGCCAAATGGGTTGTGCTGCCATACCTTCCAGAATAAGACGACAGAAAAGTAATCGGAGTTGTGCTGGGGTGCATTTATAAGATACAGCTTCAGTAAAACATTGTTCATTTTCGCTCGTATTTTCTAACAAACCAAGGGCACGTGTGGCATCTTGAAAAGTGGAGTATAATATTCCATTTACTGTTTGTAAATCCTTAAATGATCGGGCTGCGCGGTAACTTAAAAGCATGCGTAAGTAATATTTTTCACCTACACATGGACGTATTATATTCATTCTTGTTACATGAACATGATTTTGTTTGTATGGCTTAACAATACGCTGACTATAGCCTTCCTGTCTTTTTTCTAAGTAGGTATTTGGAGGTAGTAATTGTTGGCTGATTGGATTTTCAATATATTTAAAAGAATATAATTCATAGTATTTGCAATAGGTGAGGTTATCAAATTCGGTACTTAATGGACGGAGAAAATAGCGCTGCAAGGTAGAAAAATTATTATTACTATTTCCTCGAAGTATAATTTGTTCATCGGGTAAATGGACTGGTAAACACGTTACGGATGGTGATTGTGATGTTATTTTATATTTAAAAATTCTCCAGACTGCTTCCATAGCAGAAAGATAACGTGCATTCAGGTAATCCTTTATTTCATCGATTATTTGATTTTCAGAATCATTTGTTTCTTCCATATGAACAGTGACTGATGCTCGATCTGGTCCTTTATAAATATATTTATAAAGGTAAGAAATTACATGTGAAGTAGAAGCTACTTCAACATTTATGTGTGACTGTAATTTTAGTAAAAGATAAGGGTTGTATGGTACAACATTGATGTCATTTTCAGTACGACGTCGATAATAAACATGGCCATGTTCATTTATTATAGTATGTTCCTGTATGGATTTAGGATAATTCCAATGGCAATGGCCATTTCGTTGTATGCACCTCGGAGTACATTGGTGAATCATATACTGTTTTACTAAGTCACGAAGGTAATTTTGTCTAGAACTATTACCTGCTGGTAATTCAGCACATATTACCTTATCGATATTTTCAGATTGTAATAGATTTGGTGTTGATTTAATTATAATATGGGCGTGTGGTAAACCACGCTTTTGAAATTCAATAGCATGCATATAATAGATAATTTTTCCAAAATGTAATTTTAATAATTTATGTAAGTAAGTTAAACGTTGTTTAAATACTCGTACTACAATATCGGGACGGTCAGCATAATTTTGGCCAGTATGTAATTGTTGTTGGATTTCTGGCCAACTTGGATTTGTAGTAAATGTAATAAAAAGTGTCGGTTGACCTAGCTTACTTACAACTGCAAGAGCATCCATTGTCTTTTTGTAAGACCATCTATATGAAAGCGTATGCGATGCTGGTAAATAAATATTATTGGGATTTTGTATAGCTTCATCACTGAGTGTTTCATCTTCTTCATGACCCCTCTTCTAAATCGATTTTGTTCTTGACGTATAAATTGTAAGCGTTCATCATCTGCTCGACTAAACATATCTACTAAATATTCGTTAAAAAGACGACCAAGCAAATGGAATCGAGGTTCAGTCATAATGCGATAACGATAATAGTCGACTTGTGAAATTTTTTTCAGGCTTGAATTTTCAGGATCTATCCAGTACATGCGCCAACCTATTTCACCATGTGGGAAAAAAAGTGGATATTGCAATGCTTCATAATTTTCATCAAGAATATTAACATAATCAGGTTTATCTTCACCAATACGCGCCATATCTGTATATATCGTTCTTGTACTACAGCTGTTGAGTGAACAATCGTGCAAGCAGCAATTTCGGCATTATTGGTTGGTTGTTGAATTACTAATCGTGCTTGTGGATAGTTCATATTATATAGTTGATATAAACCCTGGATGAATGGATTGATAACAGCTAATTCTTGTTCAATAAGATTTACAATTTCTTGGTCAAGTTTACGCTGATTAGCAGCATCATTTTGCGCATTAGCATCATATACAAACCAATTTACAGGGTATCCTCTTGTATTAGCAGAACAAATTTGATGGTATGCATGACCATTAATGGCAAAGGCATGTGGATGTGGTAAGCGAACCACACCACCTGTATAACCAAGCACAGTAAAAGAAAATAATGAATTGTATTGACGACTGAGATGATTAAAGTTATTAGGGTTTGATATGTAAAGATTTTGTAGAGCATGTGGTAAGGGTCGGAGAGGTGGAATAATGCGTTTCAATGTATCATTACAACAAAAATTTTTTGTTTCTGAAGGAAGAAGTCGCGATCCGCACTCAGAACATGGTTTTTTCCATCCAGGGGAGTAAGCACTTATACGATGACTATTGCATAAATCAGACAATGCTTCCCACCAGAGTTGACAATTTTCATTTATAGCCAAAGGAATTATATTATCGTTTGGCATCAAATTACGCAAGTATAGGTTACGGATCGTGGGTCTTTCATATTTAGAAAGTCGTTGGCAATGTGTAGGTCTGCCCATCGCT